ATCCTATAAAAACTCAGAAACACTGGTTGGCCAACCTACAACATCTTATAAATTCTTTTCATTTTCCCCACACTCAGTCTAGTCAATAATTGGAAAAGAGATCAAGGTGTAATTTAATGTCATCTGAATAAGCCTGTAAGCCTAGAAGGAACTATAGAGTGCTCTAGACTAAAAATAAAGTAATAAAATGAAATAAAATAATTTCCAGATGGTAATTGTGAAGGTTGACTTCTCATTGTCCCCATCACAATTACATGCATCTATATGACCAGGGCAAGAAAACAATTACAAATGTAGGAAAACTGATGATTCAGTAGGGGTGGGGTAGGGGCAGAGTGAAGAAGGAATAAGCTGTTAACATAAATAATCTGGTCAACTGATAGCCTCAGGAAAGCAAAAGCCAAGAAGACATTCTCAAAGGACATTCTTAAGTATTAGGTGTTCTTAGGAACCTTAGAAATAAAGACTGGGGATAGCATTTCAATCCTGGATCTTCTGAAGAAACAGAGTGTCATGAGCTCCTCATAAACATGCCCTAAGAGAGAAATGGACAATAAGCATCCTACAGGAAAATTTTGAGGAGTCCACAATTCTCTTATTTATATTCATTTATTCAATACTAATTTTATTGAGTCACCATGTGATCAACATGGTATTGGGCACTATAATACAAACACACACAGAAAAACCCTATCCTCACCTGAATTACCATCTACAAGAAGAGATGAACAATTTATAAAACTATGTATGAGCTAGGAGTATTGGCTAGAGCAAGTATGGAGAGTCAGCACACAGTAGGCTTACTAAAACCTGCACAGGAAGCTCAGAGAAGCTTACCAGAGAAAATGGCCTTCATGTTGAGTTAATGGAAGCAGAGCTGTATGCACTGAAAAGTACAAAGAAGTTGAGTGTGGCTGAGACATGAAATGCAAGGAAGGGAGGGCAGAGTGCTGAGAGATGATGCTAGAACTATAAACAGGAAGCAGGTTATGAAGGGCCTGTAAGATATTAAAAATATTGGACTTTCTTCAGGAGGCACTGGGAAATCTTAAAAAGTTTCAAGCAAGGGAATGAATGAATAGTAAGACCGTTTCTGCCTTTATAAAATTCAAGGATAGGAGCACAGCAAGATGGCAAGTTAAGAGGCTGTTGTGGTTGTAACAGGTGAGAGGTAATAGTGGCCTGGACTAGAGAGAGGAAGTTAGGAAGGAGAAAAGTAGAAAGACTCAAGAGGAATTTTGGGGGGAAATAAAATGGACTGGACTTGGTAGGTGATTTATGGAGAAATGAGGCAAGATGATAAGTCAAGTACGACTCCATGTTTCTAATTTAGACAACTGAAGCATTTGCCTGAACATCCAGGAGGGAACAGGTCTATGGATAGAGATCATAAATTCAGTTTTGGTAAGTCGAGTTTAAGATGGCTATTAAATGCCCTAGTGAAAATATTGAAAGCATTGCTGCTCTGTAGAAATATAATACAAGCCATAAATGTAAGTCACAAGTATAAGCTTAAATTTTAAATGAGCTACATTAAAAAAGTAAAAAGAAGCAGGTAGAATTAATTTAAATAATATGTTTAAACCAATATATCTAAAATACTATAATTTCAACATAATCAATATAAACAAATTACTAAGATGTTTTACATCCTTTTTTTCATATCAAGTCTTAGAAATAGGGTGTGTAATTTACACTTACATAACATCTCAAGTTTGGACAAGTCACATTTCGAGCTTTCAATAGCCACATGTGGCAAGTGGCTGCAATACTGGACAGTGCAGATCCTAGTGGCAGTTGGATAAATGGTCCTGGAGTTCAGTATAGCCATGCAGATGGACTAGAGGGAAGAAATCTGGAAGCACCAGTGAATGTTAACTGAGCTGGCAGAATACCCTAGATCATCTGAGAAGAGTATGACTTAAGAGAAAGGGAAGCTCCTCTCAGAGCTCTAAGAAAACACTAGCACTTAAGGGACAAGGAGAGGAGCTTACAGAGGAGATCCAGATGGAGCACGCAAAAATCTACTGTTACCATTATCCTTGATCCATGTAATTAGCCCTATACAGAAGAAAACACTGATCTAAATTTGGGGTTGGATGAATCCAAGAACTACGTGAGGCATGTCCTCATTAGAGGACCTCTAGATAAAAATGGTCACTGACGTATTTTTCTGAAATGAGGTCCTATCTTACATTGGTAGGGTAACACCACTCCTGTCTCATCAGAAAGGATGGAGATGGTAGAATGAGATCGGTAGAAACAAATGCTGGGAAAAGAACACTACCCAGAATACCTGTGGCTCCTACAGAGATCCTGTTTTTAGAACTGGTGAGCGCGAGAGAAAACAACAGAAGCCGCTCTCATGCAGATCAAGCATGTTTCCATTTTAACAAAACATAAACTAGACTGCTTTGCAGAGGTTGGGAATTTTTCTTCACCTAAATATTGACTAGTATTATCAACTTCAAATATTTATACGCTTCTGTCAACCCAACTGCTAGGGTTGAGTCAGAGGAAGCTGTAAAACAAGAAGTGCCATGAAGGTGTGTACCCATCAGACTTAAGGTCGTGAGGGAAGGGACAAAAGGTTGCCAACGTCAAACAAAGAACTTACAGTGAAGTTGAACCAAAGAGCAGGCCTTCCAAGGAAGAAACTGCATTTTGACTACTGGGTTCTTAGCAAAAAGGGAATGGAGGCCTTGTTTATGAAGCTGTGCAAGGCCACACACCCAGCCTTCTTGGGAACATCAAGCTGAGGGAGATGGGTAAGAGTTAAAAGTGAAGACAGCAGGGTGCTTGTCCAGATCAGATCTCCACCAATGTACAACCCCAAAAGATCATGATTGTGAGAGCTTTGTAAATCAAGTCTTAGGGTGCTTGCTCCAGGGCAAATAGCACAACAAATTAATCCTTTCTTTATGAAATGTAGCAAACTTTGTAAATACGCTGAATTCAAATTGCTCATTAGCTCCGACATGTTCCTAATGAGGTTATAATGCTCTGGGACAAAGATCAAGTCACTGAGCACAAACAGCTAGGGACAGAATCATAGAAAGATAAAGTTAGAAGGACCTTAGAGCAGTGCTTCTCAAACATGAATATACATCACCTGGGGATTCTGATTCAGGATCTCTGGAGTGGAGCCTGCGATTCCCCATGTCTAACAAGCTCCCAGATAATTCTGGTGCACTTGGACTAGCACGTCGCTAGAGTCCATCTAATCCAATGACCTTATCCTAGAGGTGAGGACGTGGGGCCAAGGGACTTATAACTGGGAGCATGCTGAGACTTCCCTGGGGCTAATTCAAGGTAGTTGGGCATTTGTCCAGACCTGTGGGTCAACCTGAAAATTTTTAAATAGAAGCATACAGGGTAGGGTAATCAACCATTCTGGCTTTCTCAAGACTGAAGGGCTTTCTGGGACATGAGATGTTTTATTTTATAGCCAAGAAAATCCCAGACAAACCAAGACATGTTTTTCACCCTAGTGGGAGCTTTTTGAATCTACTTAGAAGATTATTTCAGGATTATTATTTTTTATCTTGCCAGTTCCTATATCTCTGGGATCATGACCTGCTGCTAAGGTAAGCACCTAAGTATGCTGTTCTTAATATCTCCAAGAACAGATGCTCAGACAAGATCCCATCTGCAGAGCCTTCTAATGCCACCACTAAGTGCCTCTCTAAGAAACAGTCTCCCAGTAGGTCTCAAAGGAAGGTATAAAAAGGGAGTATAAAGAACACAGAGAAATAAATATCATACAAGCACATAATGTTATTTTTAACTACACAAATCTATTTTAATTTTCCTTATTTGAAAAAAAATGCATATAAGAAATAAATCACTAAATTTTCTAAATCTCAAAACACTCATTCAAAACACCTTTTGTACAAAAAAATCACTAAAATAATAATAAAAATCAGGATGCATCTGTGAGACTTGAAAAAACAAGTCATTCTCTGTACAATCACAATGACTAAAAATGAAAATATATCCCTCCACATTGCTATTTTACTAACTGGAATTGGGGCTGTTTACATCAGATAGAATAATAAACAGTCTGGCAAGCAAAAATGAAAAACATTTCAGACTATTCAGTGCTAGCAGTATATTTCCAAGGCTTTTAAAACAGAACGTCAAGCTACTGATTCCATATGCATTGAAACTACAGACTTAGTGCAATCCTGACCACATTGGCTCACTCTCTGGAGACTCCTGGTTAAAAAAAGCAGCAAACATGGGCTAGCTAAATAACTTGACTTAGTATTCATGCAGTTAGGACACTTAAAACAAAGGAAGAAAAGAAGTGTGACTAAATATATACAATGCATTTGAAATAGGTAAAAGAACCCTAGCCACCCAGCAATCATTACCTGGAAATTAAAGAGGGTGGAAGCAATCCTATTATGCATTATAAACAGCCCAGCTGCTGACTTAATGGTAGTTTGACTCACATAACCAAGGAGTCCTTGCTTCAATATTAATAGGAAATGTATTGTATGAGTCCAATAGTTCATGAAATTAACAAGGAAAATGAACTGGAGTGAAGCAACATTGCAGGTAATAGGACGACATCAGCACTTGCTTCCCTGGAGCATACTGAACACTTAAAAAGAGCTTGGGGAGAGGACACGTATATAAATGAGAATGGACATTATTGGAATTTTTAAATAATACTTTTAATTTAAATACATTTCAAATTCTCTGTTGGTTGCAAGTCTTTTCAAGGGGAAACTATTTGCTCAAAATGTCAATAAGAGGTCATGGATTACGAGTTCTGGTCCAGTGATATTGAAAGTTAGCTGCCATTTGAGTCAGCCTAACACTACCATAAACTTATGACTTGACAGCTGTCAAAATAATTCTCATGTCACTTTTATAGAACTAAATACTTCGAATAGAATCTAGGAAACAATTTATCTTTTATAAACCTCAACAGCCTGAATGACATATGCATGCTCATTGGCAAACGGAAAAGCATAGTTAATTCCACTTACAATCCAATAGACATACGATGAAAGAGGACATCTTCCCCACAGACACTGCCCAAGACAATCTGACTGAAGCTGGTATTGAGCGAACAAGAATCTGAGAGGGTTTCCATAGAAGCAACAATATGGCTTCCATTTTTCCCAGACAGAGACCCATCCATGTCTTCCATGATTGCTGCATGAGGAAATGGAAATGCGACCAAGTTGGGAGAGTTTGTAAACTTCAACCGGTTGGTCTTCACAGTAAATCCACCTATAAAATGGAAGACGGAAAGACTGTTACACATGGTACAAAAGACTATTATAATAAATGGCAGCTGAAATCTCTGAGATGTTTTCAGTACTTTAAATTGCATAATTATACAGTGTTACAATTCACTCAATTATTGGTTCAAGAAAAAATTCATGAATGTCTACTGGATGCCAGGCTCTGTGGTATGTGCTGGAGATACAGTGGTGCTGCCTTCATGCAGCCTGTATTTTAGGACAGTTATTCCCAACCAGGGGTTGTTTTGCCCTCCATGGGACACTTGTCACTATTTGGAATGATTTTTGACTGTCATAACTGGGCAGATGGCAGTGCTATCGGCATGTGGTAGATAGAGGTAGGGATGCTGATAAACATCCCCCATGCACAAGACAGTCCCCACAACAAAAAAATTATCCATCCAAAAATACTAATAGTGCAAGCATGAGAAACTATGGTCCAGTTGGAAATAGACAGAGAACTCCAATTTAGTCTTTTGATGTGTCTGTTCCAATTCTTCTGTGGTGAGTCCAACCCTATCTCTTATGAGGTTTATACTTTAAACATTTACCTTCATAAGCAACATTCAATCATGTGGGCAAATAGTAATAGTAACACACGTTGTAAGAGTTAGTTAGCTTTAGGGCAATCCTTCTCAGCCATGTTTCCCTCACAAAACCTTCATATGATTCACCACCAGTCCTGCTGTTAGTCCATAGTTCGGGTAGAAACTATGGCAGTGGTCTTTTAATTCTCACACCCCTGTCATTAAAATTTAAAAATTACAATCTCAAGATCCATCCATGTTGTTGCAAATGGCACTATTTCATCTTTACTTATGGCAGAATAGTATTCCATTGTGTATATATACCACATCTTCTTTATCCAATCATCTATCAAAAGACACTTGGGTAGACTAATAGACACAGACAGTAGTTTAGTGGTTACCAGAGGGTAAGTGGGGAGAGGGATTGGTAGATGAGGGTAAATGGGATCAAATATATGGTGATGGAAAGAGAACTGGCTCTGGGTGGTGAACACACAATAAGATATATAGATGATGTATTACAGAATTGTACACCTGAAATCTTTTCTAACAATTGTCACCCAAATAAATTTTAACTAAAAAAATTAAAAATTGAGTACACATTGTTCAGTACATATACATATAACTATACTTCTATAGTATGTACTTTATAAAATACACCAAAAAAGGAACATAAAAAAAGAATGAGATACAAATAGAGGCCCTGATGTTTGCTTTCTGCATCCCAGTAGAATCCATGCAGTGAATTCAGTCATGCATTCACAACTCCGTGATTAACCTCTAACAACTTCTGTAGCTCATCTAAAACCACAACCACCTGAAGCTCTACGATTCAGTCTTGTTGGAATTTCAATGTCTTGCCTATGCTGCTCCTAATATGTAGAAACTTTTCCCTATACATTCTCCCTTGCAAATTTCTATTCACCTTTCAGAACCCTGCTCAGGCGTCACCTCCATGAAATTTTACCTGACCTCCTTTGTTGCTCCTTTCACTGACCCTTCGTTCAGTTTTTTAGAATTGTATTCCTCACACTCTAGCACAGTGACTGGATTAAATGTTTCATTTTATGCCTAGATCAAGAGCTCCTGGAAGACAAGAACTATATGTTTTTCATCTTTGTACCCCCCAGTTCCTTAAACAGAACCTGGAATAGACAGTTTTTAAACAAATGAACAATATGACATAAGCAAGATTATCCAGTGAGAAGGGATTAGAGCTAATAAGGAGTAGTGTGCTTTTTTTTCAGTGTCTTATGAATGATATGAAACAGTGAAGCTATTAAAGAACTGAGGAATTGTGATTTGAAGTGGATGTCATAAGGTATTTTTTATTCCTATTATTATTTCTACAATTTTAAAAACAGTCTTTGGCTCTGCCTATACAGAAAAAAAAAAAAAAGTAAAGTGGAGACTTGCTGATTATTCATTTAATTAAAAAAACAAACAATTATCTAAATTGGTGATTCAAACCACAAGAGCACATTTACTTGAATTACTTGGTTTGGCTGTTTACAATGATCAAATCAACTAGATTGCTCTCCACTTCTTTTCACCTTGGCCCATGAGTCCTCCGAGGTATTACTCACCACCTCTGAGATGTGGTTAACAAGTGAACCCAAATTCCTATGGTTCTCTTTGTACATACAAGCCTTGGGCTGTTGAAAACAGAGTACTAAATTCTGGCTCTTTCAAGAAAGATTGCATGGGTGTTGGTTTATATTCATATGTCTAGACATCCAACTCCATTCGTTAATTGAATCAGTGAACCTATTAGGCACCAGGCTACTAGGTACTAATGATAAAACTGTGAGCAGGAGAGACATGGTCCTTTCCTTTATGAAGCTCAGAGTCCAGCAGAGACATGGAACCATAGTGATAATGTGATAGGTACCATCATAGGAAAAGAATGGGGAGCTGCAGGAGCCACATAGAAAGCACCTGGCCTCCCCTAGGACTTCTTTTAGGCGATTTGAGTAGCAGTTTCTACTGATGCAATCTCATAACTGAAAGAAATAATGAATCACAAAGGCTTTCCCACTATTTATCATATTTACTTGAGTGTTGGCCTTACTTATTGTCTATCTTATCTATTCAATCAGCTTACCCTGTCCTCGGGAACAGCCTGAACAGGTTCTGATGGACACGCAGTCAGTGAGATCAAAATTAACAAAGGTTGTGTTAGATATGATCAGTTCCCATCTTTTGGGAGTTTTGATCCCAGCTGACATACACAGGCTTCCCTGTAATGTAGAAGGAAAGAACAAAAAAAAAGATAAGAAAAATAAGAGAACTGGCCTCATGAAATACAATTTGTAATACACAAATAAAAACAATTAAGAGAATAAAGAGACAAGCTATAGACCAGGAGAAAATATTTGCAAATCATATATGTAATAAAGGATCATGATAATATATATTACACATATATTAGATTGATTAAATAAAAAAATTATGATGATACCAAGTGTTCATAAGGATAAGGAACACCTGAAGCTTATACATCGCTAGTGGGAATGCAAAATTGTACAGCCATTGTGGAAAATAGTTTGGCAGTTTTTTATAAAGTTAAACACACTCTTATCATATGATCTAGTAACTCAACTCCTAGGTGTTTACCTTAGAGAAATGAAAATTTATGTTCATACAAAAACCTTACATAAATGGTTATAACAGTTCCATTTGTAATCACCAATTCTGGAAATAACTTAAATGTCCTTCACAAATGAGTGGATAAACCAACTATCATATATCCTGATGCTACCCAACAATAATAAGGAATAAAATATTGTTTCTTGCAACAAGTTAGATGAGTCCCTAAGGCATTTGGGAGAGAAAGAAGCCAGTCTCAAAAGGTTACACGCTATCCATTTATATAATTGTTGAAAAGACAAAACTAGAGTGACAGATAATAGATGAATAATTCCCAAAGGTTCAATGTGAGAAGAGGATGTGGCTACAAAGATGAAGCCTGAGGGAGTTTTTGGGGGTTGAAGAAACTGTTTTGTATCTTGATTGTGGCGGTCGTGGTTACACAAGTCTATATGTTAAAAATCAGAGAACTATAAATCAAAAAAGTCAGTTTTATGTTAACATAAAAATAAAAATTAAAAAGTCTAAAAAACACCAAAACTGCTTCCAGAATTTACCACAAAAATTTCTTCAATAAATTCCATCTAATCAAGTCATTAGTGCTTTCCTCTCCCACTATAAAAATAATTGTACATCTGAGGATCACCAGAAATTTGTAAGAGGCCTCCAACATGAAAGACGGTGATAAAAACAAACAAACAAACAAAAACAGAAAAAACCCAATGGAGACAAAACCAGTGTAGGAATCAGAAGAAAAGTTATACACTATCACTAATAACCCCAGAGAAGTAAGTATCTTATATCCATGAAACAAGAAGCCTAAAAAGGGATTTTTCAGAAAGGAGAACAGAAACAGAAGAGCAAAAATGATAAATTCGATAGAAAAAAATTGAGAAAATATCCTAGAAAGTAGAATAAAAAGATAGTTGGGAAATCAGAGAGAAAATTACTAAAATCAGAAAAACAATTCAGGAGATCCAATACCCAAATAATAATAGTTTCCAAAAAAAAGGAAAATAGGAGAGAATTATAGAATTATCAAAGAAATAAGACTGAAAGTTTCCACCCAGCGCTAACACAGTGGTTGGAACAAAAAGCCACACGACATACATTATATTGAAAAATACCAGGGACAAGGACAAGATCCTAAAAACTTTGAAAGAGGAAAAACTAAAAGGTTAAATAAAAAGACCTAGCATCAGAGTACCTTAAAACTATTCAACCTTAAGACTAGAAGCTAAAAGACAATGAAGCATTGCCTTCAAAATATCAAGGTAAAATTAACTCCAGCCTGGTATTTTATAACCAACAACCTACTAATAAGGGGGCATCCATTTGTAGCTCAAAACCTTTGCTTTCCAAAGACCCCACTTTGTTAAGAAAGTTACTGTAGGCTACACTCTAATGAGGAGTTAACTCAGAAAGGAGGAAGATGTGCGAATCAGAAGCAAGAGTTCCAATACTAAGGAGACATGAAAGAGATTGGTCAAAAGAAACTCCAGGATGTAGCTGTGAAACCCTTCTCCTACACTGCAGGTAAAGTGTAAACACATGGGATTGTTGTTTGGCATCATCCACTAAAGCTGAAGGGATAAAATCTGACCCAGCAATTTTTTAATTTGGCATATATTCAACAGAAATGAATGCACATGAACACCAAGAGACCTGTGAAAGAAGATTCATAACATGATGATTGGTATTAACATAAAACTGCAAAGACTCAAATGTCTATCCATAGCAACATAGCCTTTAAAAAATTGTGGGACAGTCAGCATACAGCAGAATATGACATAGCAATTGGAAGAATAAATTATTATAAAATAAAAACAAAAAATGGATGACTCTCACAGACATAATGTTGTACCAAAGAAGCCAGGAACAATAGAGTTACATGTTCTATGATTCTATTTATATGAAGTTGAAAAACAAATTTGAAATTAGTCTACATCTATAGAAGTCTAAATAATGGTTCCCCTTTGGCTGGGGGACTACGAGTTGGGTAAAATTACAGGAGACATGAAGGAGCTTCAGAGAAACTGGTAATATTTTATTTCTTTTTTTTTTTAAAGATTTTTATTGGGAAATTGGGGGGATGGGAACAGTGCTGGGGAATTTGGGGAAAGGGAACAGACAAGTTGCTGTCCTTTTGTTCTTCAATCTAGTTGTGGAGGAGGTTGCTTCACTGGCCCAAGTTGGCACCATCATTGCGCTCTTCCCAGGCAAGCAGATCAGTCGCCAGCTTCTGGACGGCCGCTCACGCTGGCTGCTGGCCGCTCACGCTGGCTGCTGGCTACACACGGTAGCCCATGGCAACCCACTGACACAGGGGCTGCAACCTACGCCGTCGCCGGTGACTCACAGCAGCCCAGCTCCAGGTTGAGCTGTTGTTCAGCATCTTAGCTGTGGAGGGCAGTGTCACTGGCCCTCATATGTGGGATCCGAACTGGGGCCCTCTGGCGTCCCAAGCCAGTTCTTAACCATTGCGCCACTCTGCCGGCCCATATTTTATTTCTTGATCTGGGGGCTATGTACATGATTTTTGCTTTAAAAAAAAATCCTTTGAGCTCTTCACTTGTGATTTGTGTACTTTTCTCCATAAATATTATACTTCCATAAAACATTTATTTTAAAAAGTGGAACAAACACTAGAAAAAAGTAACATACAAGATGGGAGGGTGAAGAAAGAAGTGAAAGGAATTTAAGGTCTTTGCATTGCTCAGGTAAAGTTTAACAGTGCTGATTCAATTAAGACTTTGAGACAACCAGGCATGTTAAAACTTTATGTTCAATAACTAAAATAGTCATACAGAATGAATAACTTTCAAATGAGTAAGTATAAAAAAAAAGATACTGTTCAATGCAAGATAAATCAAGTTCGGAAGGTAGAAAAAAAGAAATAAAGAAAACTGATTGCAAACTGAAAACACAACATTAGATGGTAGAAATAAATGCAAATATATGGGAGACATCAGCTTTTGGATGCTAATTGAAACCACTAGAGAAAATGAGATTTCTCCCGGGGAGAGCATGTATATTGAGAAGAGAAGGGTGCTTCAACAGAATTTAGAAAAACAAAAAGATGAAAGGTCTACATGGAGGAAGACAAATCCACCAGTGAAAATGGAAAGAAACCCCTAGAGAAAAAGGAACAATAAAGCAACTCCATCAGCACCTGTCTGAATAAGATATTTTTAAAAGTAGTATTATCTGTTCAAATTAATTACAAGAACAACAAAACGGCAATCATCCTACAGATACTTTCAAATGTGAGGTGATTATAAATTTACATCCAAATCAGGACATTTTTGAGAGTGTGAAAGGGGATGCTAGTTAGACAGAATGCTAGGACAACAGGTATAAGCAAACTATACAACCAAACTAAAATGTACAGGATACTCCAGGATACTCATAGTTATGGTAGAGCGCATCTCTCTCTCTCTCTCTCTTTCTTTCTCTCTCTCTCTCTCTCTCTCTCTCTCTCTCTCTCTCTCTCTCTCTCTCTATCCCTCATGTTAAAGCCATCCTCACTGGAAATCATTCTACCCATATCAGTACAAAGGTAATGTTGGCTGTGAGAGTACCAACATATACACAAATATGTTTAAAGGAAAAAACAAATCCTTTCTAATCATAACAAGTTCTTCCAGAAACTGTTTGTTTTATGATATAAATCACTGATAATTGTGTGCCCCCAATCATATGTGAGTGGAAGGTCTAAGAATGAATAGGTCAAATTCTCTGAAAATCTTAATTCCTAAAGGAATGGCAGGCAACAAAGAGACTAACATCGGAGTTCCACAACCACAGCAGTCAGGTATCCTTTTTCTTTTTTTAACAACTGACACAGTTTCATATGTCAATAAAGTGGTTCCCAAGTACATCTAAGCAGTACTGTGTAGAATAAAGATGCAGAGATACTTTTCTTGTGTTTTTTTCTGTTTCTTTTTTTGTTTTTTTGGTTTGTTTTTTGTTGTTGTTTGTTTTTGTTTTAACCCTAGGACTCTGCAGAGCCTTTAATGTGTTAATATGCAATCTAAATTTCAGGGGATGGGAGATATATTAAACAGCATATCCTAAATGAAATCTATCTAAGAATCTCCCTTTTCCCAAACCCTCTTTTGGGTAGCCTTCCAAAGAAAACCTTCAGGGAATATTGGAGTACGCACTAATAAATGCCCATTACCAAAGTCTTTTCCATGTGTAATCGGAAGTACGTATTTGACTAGTAATGGAAGAACATCCAGATGGTCCCAGCTCCACACTATGTGGCATGGGTCTTGGGCTATCATTTGACTTCCCAAAGCCTCCATTTCTTTACCTGTAAATTCAAGAATTCTAACTAGATCAACTCTTAGGAAGTATTTAGCTCTAACAATGCCATGGTTTTATGATTTAGATGTCTCGCCAGGGTCTAAGTCCCTCCTAGAACAAACTGTCTGACCTTTTTCATCCAGGGACTTCTGTCCTGCACTTACTTATTAGGAGACTAACAGGCCCTCAGCTATACTGAATTCCTGGTGAATCACACCCCAGGGGTGTGATTTATTATCTCATGATAAGCATCCTTTTGTCAAATTTATATCTTAATTTATGTCACTCTCCCATTAATTATGATGTCTATTTAGCATCAATTAAGATATTGTGACATTAATTTACCAGGACAGTTATTCAGCTTGATGAGGATTTTGTTTTTAGCATCTCCTCTAAGGTTATTTGGGAGGAATTTAAGGGCCTTTGATCCATAAGTATCACAGAATCTAAATCTGGGTCCCAGCCTCTCTTGAAAACTATGCAGTTTAAAAAGGAGAATCATCTTTCAAGGTGGTGATCCTTTCAGAGAAAAGGAAAAACCAGCAGGTATTTCCCTCCTTAAAAGAATGGTTCAAGAGATTTAACTAAGTTTGAGAATTAAACAAATGAAATCATAGTTTAGTAAGAAAATTATTTTTTAAATTTTAATAATAATATCTATAGCTATGAAATACACTCCAAGGGAAGTACAAAAGTCAATAATTATCATTTAAATTTCATTTGGCCAAGCATTCAAGAACAAACTAAAGAGAATGCTCTTTCCAAAATTCTCATCTATGAGTGTTATGAGTATTATGATGATGTGATACTATGAGTATTATGAATATTATGAGTATCCCATCTATGAGTATTATGACGATGTGATACTAATATGCATGTACCTCTTTCAAAAACAAGAATTGAGGGGACCCATTATTGGTCTGAAGCCTACTGAGACTACTGAGGCAGCCATGGACTTCCCTTAAGGAGAACAAATACATCTCTTCTGGGAAGTTCTCCTTGCCTCACTTGCATTAAGGTACACTGGCTTTGGGGTGGCAGAGAAGTCATCTATCATTTGATGCTTATCATTTGATGCTTATGTGGAAACTCAATGTTAAAAAAAGAAACAGGCTAAAATGGAGTCGCTTTTGCTAAGCCATGTACCAAATCAAAACTTAATAACTAAACTAATTGCAATTTTATCTCTCCCAGGAGTGGAATTTTAAACCAGTCTGAAATTTCCTGATCAATACTAGTGAGATAGTCTGCATAATAAAACCCCTGCCATGTCCTTCCCTCCAAAAGAATAGAATCTGGCTTAAAAGTAATCTTTTCCTTTCTTTTGCTAATAACTCCCCTGCCATGTCTTTTTGCCTATAAAAACATTTCATTTTGTACACTTCATGAATTGCTTAACAAAGCCAATAAGATAGTCAAATTTATTTGGTTGAATTTTGTTCCTTAATTCCACAATTAGGGAATCACATAAGAAATAAGAAAATCAAATAGTATACTATAGTAAATAATGTAAATTTATATTACCTATTTTGGCAGGGAGGGCTCCCTAAATAGAGCAAGGACCTTATGAACAGAATGTAGAAACTTGGCAAACCATAAGGCAGAGAGACAGTATGGAGTCATGTTATTCTATAATCCTTGTGAACTTAGAGTAAGTTAACCTAAAATTATTAAGTATGGATTGAATTGGTATGGATAATAATGCTCAATTATAACCAAATAAGAATTCTGCAATATACTCATGATTTTTATGTTTTATATCAACTCATAGCATTGAAACCTTAGGTATATTTTGTTTTTTTATTATAAATATCACCACTGTTACAAATAAAAGGCTCCTCCAACTTTTACCAGTTCAATGTAAGATTCACTTAAAAATGCTATTAAAATTGCATATCCTGAATCACCGGGGAGCCCAATACATATGATTCTATTTTGATGGACAGCTTAAAACAACTACACTAAGGTACTTACCTTGTGGGCAAAATGACCAAGTAATAAGCTGTCAGTAACTGCAGTATTTGCATCACTTTCCAAGATGTCAATTCCAAAATCTCTGCATGAATAAACTCGGAAGCTTTTTAGGTGAAGATTGCTACTCCTAAAAATCTATAAAAAAGTAAAAAAGCATATGTTATGGCAAAGGTCTGAGGCTTGGTTTTCTTGAAGACTTTCTATAGCTTCTTTAATTATTAACTATAAATAAGCATGCTATACCATATTTAAGCAGCTTTTGCCCATCAATACTTGTACAGACAACCTAAAGTTGCCGTGAGGTCAGTACTAACTGGTCCCCTCTGGTAACATCTCATCTGTACTTTTCATTTCTCCTCATTAATAACTGACATGTTAAAAACGTCAATGTGAATTCTTCACATATCTAAAATAAACTTGTCGGCGTCAAATCACACAAAATTCATAGAGAAAAACAGCATTCAAGAACTCCAGTACTTAACATTTTCCTCAGTGTAGTATGTACTAATATTGTCAGAAAATTGCAAATATGAAATAAGTAATTCAACACGACTACAGACTCAAAATACGTTATGTGCACATATATTTATCACCTGGGGTTAGTGGGCCCAATCAGCGATCAAGCATTAACAAAATTAGCTTGATAGAATTGAAAGAATCCCTCCAGTTTGGGAGACAGGACCCTTCTTTTTTACCTAGCACTGATATTAACTATGTGAACCTGGGCAAGATATTTAACTTCTCCCAGGCCTCAGTTCAACCATCTGTAAAACCAGGGTAGAAATCAGGACTAGAAACTACCCAACACAGTCATCCCTTTATTCATTAAATAGGGTCAATGCTTCATTCATACCTTAAAGTGGAAACGTCCTATTAATTAAGACCAAGGTAGCCATGATTTGTCATAGTATCATGCCTGGTGACTAGTCTTTGTGCTTGAATTTTCAAGAATTAAGTAGCTTTCATTTTCCATTTTGTATGCATCAATAACTTTTACATAATGATAGATCTTTGAAGACTTAAAGGTTTATTTAAACAAAATAGGTATGATCTGAACTGATAACTTGACAACAGTTGTGACCCAATTACAGGCATCTCAAGTTCTGGAAAATACACTTATATTCAAAAACAGCTGGGGCTGGCCAAGTGGCATGATGGTTAAGAACTGGCTTGGGATGCCAGAGGGCCCCGGTTCGGATCCCACATATGAGGGCCAGTGACACTGCCCTCCACAGCTAAGATGCTGAACAACAGCTCAACCTGGAGCTGGGCTGCCGTGAGTCGCCGGCGATGGCATAGGCTGCAGCCCCTGTGGCAGTGGGTTGCCATGGGCTACTGTCTATAGACAGCAGCCAGCGTGAGCGGCCAACAGCCGCAGTGAGCGGCCGTCCAGAAGCCGGCGACTGATCTGCCTCACCCAGGAAGAACGCAATGATGGTGCCAACTTGGGCCAGTGAAGCAAAGTCCTCCACAACTAGACTAAACAACAAAAGGACAGCAACTTGTCTGTTCCCCTTCCCCCAATTCCCAAGCACTGTTCCCATCCCCCCAATTACCCAATAAAAATCTTAAAAAAAAAAAAAAGCTAACACCTAGCACTAACTAGAAAACCTGGTAATTTTTAAAGGAAACCATCACACAAAATCACAAAGCCCCTATTTGTGATGTAAATACAGCTTTTATAATGTGCTCTCATCCCCCTCTTCTAAAAGAATTACTCTGCATTTATGAGACATGGTGAGGAGAGGGTATTTTTCTCAACTTTTATTAACATACATACAAAAGAATTAGACTGCTTGAGTTGGAATCCAACAATTCTTAGCTATGTGACTTTAGCAAGTATTGGGTTGTCGGAAAAGTCATAATGCATTTTTGCAATGAAAAACATAGAAAAAATGCATGTTGACTTTTCCGACAACCCAATATTTTATCCCCAACCCACAGTTTTCTTATCTAAGGAGAATAATAATGATGCCCATCCACCAAAGGTTATTAAGATGATTGAAAAAATATCCAAAAATACTGTCAATGTCATCAAATATGTATAAATTTATGTTTACTCACAATAGAAATTTTACCTAATGAAATGTTCCACTGGAGTAACTACTTACATGACACTTATGTCTAATAACCAGAATACAATTAGATATATCTAATAATGAAATTTAGGAAATTTAAGCTTATGAAATTTAAACACCATGTATTTTGATGATGCAGAAGGTATTTCTCAATGTTTTTATGTTTCTCATCTTTTTGTTGGTTTCCCTGAGATCACTGAGCATCCTTATAACCAGTGTTTTGAACTCTATGTCTGGTAGATTACTTGTCTCCATTTTGTTTAGTTATTTTTGTGGAGCTTTGTTCTGTGCTTTAATCTGGGACATGTTTCTTTGTCTCCCCATTTGGCTGCCTCCCTGTGTTTGTTCCTATGTATTAGGTAGGGCTGCTATATCTCCTGCTGTTAGTAGAGTGGTCTTATGTAGTAGGTGTCCTGTGGGGCCCAGTGGCACAGTCTCCCTGGTCATTAGAGCCAGGTGCTCCAGGTGTAAGTTGTGTTGTAGTTGAGCCTGGGCTGCTGTTTGCACATCAGTGGGGGGGATTGACTATCAGGCTGATTGGTGGTGAGGACTGGCCATGACTATAGTGGAGGAGTTATGGTGTAGGAGCTGACCCTACAAAGCAGAATTCACTTTAGCAGGACTCTGGTGCTTGCCTAGTCTGCCCTTTGTATGTGTCATCCTTATAGGTGGTCAGGCAATGCTCTGGCTTGGTCCAAAGCTAGCCACTGGGCATGCCAGTCCCCAAGCCTCCTGGGAGGGGACCCACTGCAGACCAAGTTTTGGCTGCACCCTGAGCCTTGCCCAAGGTCACCTGGAATGAGCCACAAAACAATCTGCATATGGCCACCATCTGTACTGTGCTTGGAGGTTCCTCAAGAGGCCAAGCCACAAATGAAGACTGGCTGTCACTAGTGTGGGACCTAGGGCTATTCAGCCAGAGATAAGGGACACTCAGAAGCCAGATGTTGTCTGTATGGGTTTTGTGAACCTTTGAGATATTTTAAGAAGTTTGCAACGTGAGCTAAGGCAGGGCATTTGTACAGAAAAGCCACTGGAAGCTTGGTTGTGTCTGAAAGATGGGGGGGGGGGTCTCATAATGACCAGAGTGGGGCAAACAAACTGTGTTAACCAGGTTTATAGAGACTCAGATACAGCGCCTGCCTACATCTGCGCATGGGGACGGAGGAGGACTGAACAACAAAAAAATGGCTTCCACCAGCTCTTCCATCCAGAAGAAGGCTGCCCCTACAATCCTCTCCCTGCAGCCAGACAATTCAATTCCTCCCCATATGTCCCTGGCACCACTCTTCTGGAGCTCAGAGTGGGTGGACTCATCAGCAAGTAAGTCCATGCACAGGCCCTTTAAGAGGAGCACCTGGGATTGCTACCACCCTCAATTTCACTCAGCCACAATTTCCACTGTTTTTCACTACCAGAAGTTATGGGGACTCTCTTCCTGGTGCTGAAACCCTGGGTTGGGGGGGCCTGGCTGGGACTAGAACCCCTCACTCCTCTGGGGGGTACCTCCACAGCCAAACTAGCACTCCTGATTTTTAATGGTCACACTTGGGTATGAGATCAGCCTGTTTCACATTGCTGCCCCTCCCACCAGTCTTGAGGTGGCTTCTTCTGTATGTCCTCAGTTGTAGGACTTCAGTTTACCTAGAATTTCAGGCAATTCTCAATGATGGTTGTTCTGTAGTTATAATTTCATGAGGGTTTTGATTTCTCTACATCTTTGCCAATACCTGTTATCATTTTCATTCTAGTCATCCCAGTGGGTGTAAAGTGGTATCTCACCATGGTTTTGATTTGCTTTTCTCTAATAACTAATTATGCTGAATATATTTTCATATGCTTATTGGCCATTTTTGTCTCTTCTTTGGAGAAATGTCTATTCAGATCCTTTGGTTATTTTTTCATTGGGTTTTTTGTTTTTCTATTGTTGAGTTGTGTTTTTTGTATATTCTAGATACATGCCCTTTAACAGATGTATGATTTTCAAATATTGTCTCCCATTCTGTAGTTTATCTTTTTACTTTCATGATGTGACCCTTTGAAACATTAAAATTTTTAATTTTGATTAAGTTCAACTTATCTGTTTTTCCTTAGTTTCTTATTCTTTTGATATCATATCCGAGGATCCTTTGCTAAATCGAAGGTCATGAAGATTTACCCACTTTGTTTTCCTCTAAGAAGCCTATAGCTTTTACTCTAACATTATATTTTAGAGTTAATTTTTGTTAATAGTATAAGGATCCAACTTTATTCTTTTGCAGGCAGCTCTCCACTTTCCAGCACCATTTGTTGAAAAGACTATTATTTCCCCCATTGAATGGCCTTGGCATCCTTGTCAAAAATCAGTTGACCACAGATACATGGGTTTATTTCTGGACTTAATTCTAGTCTGTTGATCTATATTCTGTCTTTGTCCCCATATTACACTATCTTGATTACTGTTGCCTTATAGTAAGTTTTTCTTACTTTCTTCTGTTTCAGGATTGTTTTTAGGGAAGTTACTTTTGAAATTCCCTGCTACCATGTTAATTACTCTCTTTTATTCTCCTCATAAAAGTGAAGTTTCAAAAGCATTCTCATAATTTGGACTTTTTGATTAATTAAAAGAATTCAATCTTTAAGGATATATATTTTTTCTTTCATGGATTTAGCATTTCTGGTTATAGAACTTGAGAAAACTGACTTTAATGATCATCTGGTAATATTTTTGTTTTATTATTTTGTTTCCTCTAGAACAGTTATTTAACAGCATGGAGCAGAGTTTAAGCCTTTGCAGGGCATGAATTGCTCCTCTGCATAGAGGGCATGCAACAAATGTTTCTACTGAATTGAAACCTCTTTGTTCATTATGCTTTTGGGAAACCTAGTACTTTATAAAATTAAATAAAAACAAAATATTAAATACAATTGGGATTCTTCATGTTAGCTACCCTAATTATATGTTTTTGGGTTTTCCCCATCCACAATTACCTTCCTCTTATTAGATATATCAAATAAATGTCTGACTTTCTTGTTGTGACTTAATTTTATATTTTAATTCTGTTTCCTGAATGCCCTGTAAACATATTTCTTCATCTGTGTATCTTAGACTCCAGATTGCTCAGTGGCAGAGACCAAGAGTATGTAATTTTCTCTGTGTATCACCAAATAGTGACCCTGGATAATTTTTATGTTGTTATTAACATGCAAAGCTTCTGTGTAAGAAATCATTGTGATAATGAAAAGTAAATGATGGATGTGAACTTTTTTTCCCTTTTGAGCAAAATAAAAGAAAATTTGGTTCATTGATAAGGGTAAGAATGGTGCCTTGAGCTGGAATTTTTGTGTTCCAATGATGAATAACACATTTTTTTTAAGATTGAAGTATGTGTTATAAGAGATATTAAGGTACCAAATGCATAACATTTGGAGTCTGAATTCTGCACCTGGTTGTGCCACTAACTAATTGTGTAACCTTCAACAAATCACTTTGTTTTCTGAGCTTTAATTTTTAATCTCTAAATAGGCATGTGATAGGAGGAATGGATGACTTCTATGATCCCTCCTGGCTGTAAATTTGTATAACTCAGTGTTCTCTCTGAGTGCTGCTAAAAAGTCACCATAAGGGAAATTAACTAACCCTGGATGACTAACCAGCAATTTGTTCATTCAACAACTATTCCATACACACCTATGATACTGTTGTCTCCTTAAAGCTGTAATAAGATTGCAAAGCTCCCCTCCATGTCAAACAATCCCCCTTTAAACAGGGATGCATAGTAACTCACCATAAAGAAACAAATGATGGTTTTAATTAAAAACTAAAGAAACGTACCTGGGCACCGCCTGCACTTCCCCAAACCAGGAAGTCTTGGAATAGGGTGGGGCCAGTGTCATTGTCCCAAGATGGCTGAAATTTAGGGTATACAAAGAGACCATACCTAGAAAGCAAAACAAATAGTGAAATTTAGCCATTTTCTATGTTTCAAATCCTCACTTTTTCTCATTGGAAAATATAAAGGTAAAGATACTGAATAAGGGAAAATGAGATCTGTGAGCCTTTTTTCTAACTGTCACTGCCCATTCCTTAGCCTTTCCTGTTACCCTCTCTGTAACCTGCCACTGAATCTCAACCAGATGCAGACTGCCATGATCCTGTTCTATCTTATCAGCCCACCTCTTTGTTCACCCCATCCTAGGAGTCTGAACCCCTTCCCGCTTCTAGTTTTATCCTTGCACTAGGAATATAGATACCAGCACCTGTAATCCCTCTACCTTTTGTTCTCCCCAAAATGCCCTACCGTTGTGGTATTCTGGATACCTTCTTCCCTCACATTCCAGGGCTGCTGAGAGCTGCTAGATAAAAGCTTCATAATCTTAATGGTAATTTTATGGCACTTTGTACTAATCCTAGTCTCAGCGCATGCTTCAGCATGGCATAGTAATTCTTAATCCTTACTGCACTCTCCTTATTTTTTTTCATGATAGCAGTATTACTAAACTACTTTTATCATAATTATTTGTAACTGTCAATTTCTACTATATTTCTACTATATTCCAGGTGTTCTCTTAGGGGCATTACACAAATCATTTCTAATTTTCCCATGAAACTCTCAATGTAGCACTGTCCCCGATTTACACATAAGGGATCTGCAATTTAGGAGTAAAGTCAGCATTTGAATCAGGGCCTGACTCTGACTCTGAGTGTATATTTTTCCCATGGTTCCCACCATGTTTCCCAGTACTTGCTCTTAGCAAATAGTCTTATCCTCTACATAACTTTGAACAAGACTTTCAACAAGTCCCTTGTCATCTTATAGCGTACACATCACAGCAAAGAGCCTCTTCTCCAAAGCTCATCTTCCCAGTCAGCTCCTGAGCCCAGACACCCTAAGTTCCCAGTTGCTCCCAGTCATTAGAAGTTTAATTGTTTTCTCTATTAAATTATCTTCTGGTCACAAAACATACATTCTGTCTCGTTGCCCTTTCAAGTGACTTCTCTCTCTATCTTTCCCTTCTCTTCACCACCAAACTTCTGTGATCCAAAATGCTCATACAGATGCATCATCAAATATCATATGAATGCCAAAGTTATACCCTCTCTAAATGTTGCACACAAAAAAATGTTAAACCATAAGCCCTATAACCAAAATGAAGATGAATTTCCTCAAAGTTACCTTGTACAAGAATGTGCAATATTCCGAGTGAAGGAGAGAAGTGGAGCTCGTGATGTTTGGCTGGTTACAAGATGAAAAAAGTAGCCATAACCAGCAGCACACACCCTATTTCCCTACAGAAAATAAAGATAGTTAAATAATAGTTACTCCATATACAATAAGGTTGCTGGAAAGTCTCTTATATGTGCTCACTCTACTTTTTCATTTACTTCCTGTCAAGGTGTATTGATGCTTTTATGGACTCATTTACTCTTTCACCCACTCATCCCCCACACCGCTCCAAGAATCAAACATATTCTCATTCCTCTTCTTCCAGGCAGCTCAACTAGACTGTAATTTGCCTACATCAATAACTGGCATCTCATGTTAGTGTCTTTGTAAACGTCAACAATGAGAAGCTAACTTGCATCATCTAATCCAAGCTCTCCTCTTTGGTATATGCAAGAATACACAGCAGCAAAGGCATAATTTAAAACCAAGTCTACACAAAGTCCTCTCTCTGCTCTTTTCAACACATCAGTGGTTTGGCTATGGGCTGAAAGCCAGTGATTGCATTAGCCATGCCTTAATGCTGAGACACAGTGGCTGAGTTCAAATACAACTCAAATCTCCTCAATGTGTTTTTGTCTTGATTAGATCATTTTAATCGCCTTAATATTTCTTTATAGGATTTACTATCTAAATAATTTAATGTCTTTGATGTTCATATAAACCTAAATTCTCCATTAGACAATATGAGTTTGGGGCTTTAATTCTGATTGAATGGAACACAATGTGATATTCTTTTTATAAATTCAATGAAGCAACTGTAATATATTCATCACGATGTAATATACGCATATGTTAAGACAGAATAGAAACCCAACTGCCTAAAGAGTCTGATATTATATACAGAAGTATTTTGTTTGGCCTACCTAATGTTTACATAAATTTTTATTTTGTTTCCAACATTTTAAAATCAGGAAACTTGATATAAAAAATTCAGACTTTTAAGGGCCGGCCGAGTGGCTCAGTTGGTTAAGAGCTCGCTCAAGAGTTTGAGCTCTGAGCAACAGCAGTTCGAGTCCAGCCTGAGTTGAGCAGCCGCTGAGCTGCCAACAGGTAGCAGGATGGCTCAGCTAAAAAAAAAAAAAAAAGTTCAGACTTTTAGTTTTTTTTAAATGCTGAGCCCAAATTTCTGTGGGATAGCTATGGGTCACCTGAAGCTTAAAAGGGAACTAACTTCTTACATTATGGATTATTTTGTCATAGTCCCACCCTTCTCTCTTCCCCTACTGATGACACTGACCTAGTCCCTGCAGCCATTTGAATTTACAACCTCTTAATTCCAGGCAGTAACATAAATGACATGGCAGCTCTGTGTTTTAGTGGGAGGAATGAAAAGTGAATAGGTCAGCTACCGGACTACTATCTGTGTGTATCTGTCCTCCTTCCGCCTAAGAGGCTTGTCCAAGGCCAAGATGTCCATGTCTTCTTAGAGAAAAGAAGTCAAGGAACAGGCTGCCTTGTACCAGGTGATCCAGAATGAACTGTGAGGAAGCCACTGGGCTTTCCTTTATCTCTGTAGCACACATTCAGGCCCACTAATCTCTTTTCAGTTTGTTCCAAATATTGTATGGGATATACTTGTATTAAATACTTATTAGTTGTATGTCTGAAATTCAAATTTATCCAAGTATGCTGGGTTTTGTCTGGCAACTCTAATCTGGGGTATATAAAATACAGATTTCTAGCCTCCCCCCACCCAACCCAGATATTCTGACTTAGCAGATGTTGGGTGAGGTGAAGGGTTAGGGGACAGAATTCTGCACTTGAGCACCACTGATGCTTCTAATGCAGGTGATATTTTGACCCCTTTTTGAGAACTATGTCTCTAGAAGTGACAGAGATATTAATACTGTACTGTCCAGTTATCAAGAGTCTTAGGAAGAATTCATTTCCTGGCAATTTTGCCATGAGCTGCTTTGGGAACCCGGTGTAAATGAAAGCCACTGTTGAAGACCTAGACAGTCAGGGTGGGAATCTGTTACCAGATCTCAGCAAAAAGATTGCCCAACTCAGTGCAAGTTATACTTTATGTTGATTTTTTTCTTAGAAATATTTATCTTTTTTGAAATTATGACCAAGTATAATGATAATACTCATAGTAAAGATTTATAGAGAAGCTGCCACCATCCAGGTACAAATTTCAGAGTCTCATTTACTTTCACAACAATTCTGAATTATGTATTATTATTATTATTATTATTATTATTATTATTATTATTATTTCACAAAGAAATTGAATCTTGGAGATATTAAGTAACTTTCCAAAAGTCACAGAGTTAGTAATTGTCAGAGCCAGCTCCATTCATGTTCAAGCCTGAAAATTTCAGAGATCATAGTCTAGGATAGAGAAATAAAGTCAAGACTCAGAACCAGAATGTTAAATAGGGCGCAAGTGAAGAAATGTAAACAGTAGGGTACAATGCAAAGTCACATCACCAGGTCAGGGACAGAACAGGAGAGTTTGTTATGGAATCGCCAACAATGGACAAAACATTGAGCAACATTCTTTGCAGAATTCAATGTATAATGGACATTCAAGCAAGAGAAATTTCAAAGAGAAATTTACTGCCCAAGTAAGCTAGTTATTTGAGGTGTTCATCTATATAGTTCTAGAAAAACCTGAGGTAATACTACAGGCACCAGGTAACCCGGTGAACAAAACTGGGGCAGTGATAGTATTTGATATTGCTACATACATATAGGTTTCCCCAAAATAGGAGAGCATTTTTGAGGTCAGATTTAACTAACGAGCTGCTCTCTTCACACCGAGAATCCAAACAATATAAAATCCCTTCCATCCCCATGACATGGGAAAAACAAAAAACATGCTCAGCTCAGAGTACAGAGGCATATAGGTAAGGAGGTGGGCCAATTCCCAATAGTAGGCAGGAAAAGACATGACATTTTCAAGAGTATATTTAATGACAGTGGTTCTGAAACTCTAGCATTATAGGAATTGAACCTTATCAAGGCTTAGACTTTATGTGAATGAGGACTAGCTACTGACATCGAAGTGTTGAACAACTGACAGAAGAAAAGACAGACTCCGTAATTTTTACTTCGCTATTAAATTGTTATTTAATATTTAAATTTTTATTTAATATATGGACATAGTGGCATGGAACATAGAAAAGGGTCAGAATTGGAAGAGTCAGTTCTGACCTACTTAAGCAAAGAGCTCTTTCTCACAGCCTTTAAACAAAGCTCAAGTTTTACCACAGTTTGAGGAAGGAAGAATTGAGAGGGAAAATTCCAATCATACCTTTTTAGTTATAGCTGTTCTGTATTTACCCTTAGGTTGAGTAAACTCATTTCATCCCATAGCTTCAGTCATTCCAGATTAATATTTTATCAACTTTAATTCCTAAATGAAAGGACTTCAGGTATTATTAAAGGCAACTCCCTGAACCTGGGTGACCAACAGGCAGTCATAATGTTGCAGAACTCCCTACAGAAGGGGACTTTAAAGAGCCTGTCCTCTCTGGTGTGCCACATGTTCACTAGGAACACACACACACACACACACACACACACACACTCTCTCTCTCTCTCTCTCTCTCTCTCTCTCTCTCTCTCTCTCACACACACACACACACACCACCACCACCACCACCAAGGAAAGTCAATATGAGATAAAAATTAAAATAGGTTTCTCTAAAACTACCAGTACTCAACTCCTGCCTCATGTGAGAGGAGGAACCAATGCCGTAATAAGCCAATCAGCCTCTGGGGAAGTGGGGATGAGGGCCAACGCTTACCGTGAGACTGGAAGCCTGGCCAACAGGCAGCACCCAGGACATGGCAGGGCAGCCAGTACTTCCTGACACACCCACCAATACTGTTTCCTTAACTTTAGCTTGTTATTCACTGTGGACACCAAAACTGTCTTACCCTGGGTATTTGTAATTAGCCAGCTAATCTTCATTTTTCACTCAGTCACAGAAATGTGTTCTTGCTTGGTGGAATAGAGACCCATTCTCTCCTGCACTTTGATATTTTGGATTCTGAGCATTCCCCAAATTTCCTGAGGCAATATAAAATTCTAATCACATGCTTCATCTACCACATGGAACTCAACAAAATTGACTTTTGGGTATCATTGAATGTGAAGCTGAATTACTATTGAAGATGCTAACGTGACTTCAAGCAACCAGGGCCATCTCTAAGGCTTCAATTATCTTGAGGTGGCACAGTCTAGAGTGGTAGTTGTCAATCAGGAATGATTTTGTTCCCCAGGGAGCATTTAGAAGTCTCTAAAGACATTTTTGACTGCCACAACTCAGGGAGTAGAGGGAAGTTACTGGCATTCATTGGGTTGAGACCAGGGATGCTGCTGTACAGAGGAAAACCTCTCACAACAAAGAATTATATGATCCAAAATGTTAATACTGCCATGGTTGAGAAACCCTAGTCTACAGTCTAGACTGGAGGTCTGTGTTGTCAAAATAATCTATGCCCACATTCTCGTAGCCTATCTCCAAGTTTTGATGGAAAGATCAACCTAAATATAAAACATAGTTAATTATAATAAGAATGCATTCGCAGTCTTTACTAGGAGGGCATTTATATCTTTTTAAACAATCAAACCTGGCATTAGGCATTCCCAAAAAGAACACTTATTAGCATTGAATTAGCTATCTCAATTCTTCTCTCACATTAGAAAAATAGGATACATGCTCATGATTCTTGGCTTCAGGAAGAATTGCTGTCACTGGGTTGACAAATACCCTAGTAGGTACACAAAGAAGTAACATAGCTGTTGATTCTCAGTTACGATTACATGACTGGAAACTTCCTCATGGAATTACATATGAAGCCTTATCTTCCACACAGTCTGGGTTGAATGGCAGTGTCTCTACCACACCTATGAACCATGGGAAAGGCCATGAGTATATAAGAACTGAGGGTTAGGAAATGGGGCTTCTTAAATACCCACCCTTTCTGCAAATATATTAACAATGAAAAAGGTAAACTAGAGGCTAGAAGTGATTATCTTATTTAGACATATACCTGTATTTTATTACCAAAGCAATCCTAATTTATCACCAAGACTCTACCAAGAGGGGAAAGATAAAAAACATTTAAAGAATAGATTAGAAGGGCTACCTGCTGATTCATCACCTTTCCCAGACAGGTGCTCAGAGAGCTCATGTTTCTAGCAAATGTAAAGATTTATTGAGTCATCTGGCCTAATGTCATTAGTATTTACAGAGCATCTGGGTGATCATATATAAATGCTTTCCTTGTGCATTTATATTTGGGCAGGGTATTGCAACTTTGTTCTTCTGTTAGCTGATAAAGCACACTTTTCTTATAAAAGAAGCACTTCAACAGTCAGATCACATTACTTTCCAATCCTTTTTACTATCCATTCCAATTGGGTATGCTACAAATGATTCATGAGGAAAAACCACATATTTATGCAGGCAGCCAGCGGCTTGTGGGGTAGGGTTTAAGGCAAGCAAGGAATTTTGTGTGGAAATCAATTCTTTGCGGAAGTCAATGTATTATGGACATTCAAGCAAGAAAAATTCCAGAGTGAAATTAACTGCTCAAGTAAGCCAGCTCCTTGAGGTGTGCATCTATAGTTACTAGAAAAAAAGTGAGTTAACCCTTCAGGCAGCTCTTAAATATACATTAGCTATTGAGTGGGAAGAGCTAGAGAACTGAAATTGGGCCTTTAAACACAGAATTCCTTACAAAATTGATTCACAAACCAGAACAAATTCCTCTCAAATGAAATGGGGGTTTCCAAAGGGTTCATCTTCAGGTTTTTTCTGTGGAATATCCTAAAAAAAAAAGAGTCTGGTCTTTGGAAAAGTGCAACACTGCCATAAACATGGAATATTCTGAAGCTCTAGAAGTGAACAGGCCCTTGCTGCTTGAGAGCAAAGACTTTCCAGCCAAAGGTTAACATAGGTTAATGTCTACTGCAGAGATGGAGCCTCTGGACAGACAACAAGGAATCCCCACAGGAGTCAGATGCAGATGTTGCGTTGCTAAGGGAAGTCAGCCTGGAAATGCAGTGCTCTCAGAACTACAGGGGATAAATGAAGAACCACCACCAATGTGTTTTTTGAAAACATAGCAAAAACCTACCTAAGGAGTATACCTTAGATAAGAAATACCACAAGTTCTCTGGAGACACAAACAGGAATATGATGCTTGAATCCTCACTAGCAGGAAGGCACAAAGCTCAGGTTTTGCTTCTCCCTGGACTTGGCTCAGCTAGAGCCTGGGCAGGGGAGCAGGCAGACCACTCGTGGCTATAAAACTAAAAAGTAATATCACACTTGAAATTCCTTGTATCATGCAGGGTTGAAAGTGAGTGAACTGTAAAGATGGCTGACTGAAAGACAAGGTAAATTCCATGTGCTGTAGTAAGTACATGTTTGGCCCTAGGCTTTGAATCAGGGTAATTAGGGAATAATATATGACCACAGGTCACTGCAGAGACTTAAGGATCAACTGTGTTTCTTCACTGCCTTCCTGCCTGCCAAGCCAGAGATGTCAAGGCCAGATTCATGTAGGTAAAAGAGAGAAAGTTTAGACTTTCAGGGTTGGTCACCCAGGAACCAGAATTGTGTCGTCTTCGTCAAGTCTAAATAAGGGCTATACTTTAGTTAATATTGGGTTGTCGGAAAAGTCATGATGCATTTTTTCAATGCAAAACATAGAAAAAAATACATCATGACTTTTCCAACAACCTAATAGTATTGTCCCAATGCCAATTTTTTTATTTTGCTATTGGTCTGTGGCGATGGCATGGTTACATTATCATTAGGAGAAGCTGGGTGAAAGTTACACAGGAATGCTATGTTATATCTTTGCAACTCCTTCTGAGTCTAAAATTATTTTAAAATTGGAAGTTTAACAAAAGATAAATGTTAATTAATTATAGTAATACAGTGTCTTTTATAAAACATTTTGCCAGACTGCAAGAAAACTGGAAAACAAGGCAGGAAAAGGGGTAAAAATAACTGAGCACACACAAGGCTTGACTACATTCCCATATGGAGTAGTTTGACTCTAAACCCCTCACATAGAAGGACAAAAGACCCACCACCCATGAAACAGTTCTTCAGAATAGGAAATGTCTCTCTTGAATATCAGAACAACCCTGGGAGGGTGGAAGGTTGTGGTAGAAACCACATCTCTTTCTGTTCCACATATTATACACACACACACACACACACACACACACACACACACACATATATCATTGTTATTGTAGCCTCCTTATTATCTCTTTAGAATACACGTGTATTTCTAAAATACATTTGTCAAAGTACTCTGCGTATTATCCATAGGACACACTTAATAAATACTAACTTACTGTTTGCTCAATGACAAAATGGCATTCTTTGGCCCTAAGGGTCAAGAGCAGTTCCTAATTTTTAGGTTTTGTCACACATGACCAGTTATCACCTATATCCTTAGTAATAGCACATTCCAGATATTAAAGTTCAAAAGAGACAGCACAGAACAGTAGTGGCCCAGCTGAAATAAGATTTAGCACTGAGAGATGAGTCCCACAGGATTTAAATGCTGCCACAGATGAAACATCTTATTTTCTAGTTATCGACATGATTGTCGGATCTTGGAGTCTGTTCTTTTCTCTTTCTTCCCTTGATTCTTTGATATGGAAATGTACCTACATTCACTCATTCATTATATTCAATTAATTTGTATTGAGAAACGATTATGTTTCAGACATCATATTGGCGTCTAAAAGCTAATAAGCTAATGAAAACAAACTACAGAACTTTAAGGTCATCAAAGAACATGTCAGGAATACACCTAATGAATATACTTAATGAATCTACACTACCGGTTTAAACTGAAACTTCACTCTCAAAACACGTTCACTGTACTTTTAAAATAATTTTGTAAAATAGATAGAAGAGGAAGAAAGTAAACAAATAGAAATGGAAGGCATCTAACAGGGGAGAGCTTGTTTTGGACTCAGTTTCTCGATTGCTGACTGAGCATTGTTTCACAGGTAAGTCTGTAAAGGTTCAGGGGATCTATCAGTTTTTCAGATGGCCCTCTGGGTCTCTGCACCCATAGACTTATAGCCAGCTCAATTCTTCTGGTTGACTAATGGCCAAGACATCTGCCCAAGAGACCATGTACTATCCAATGAAGCAAAGTCAAATGGACAGCATCCCCGGCATTCAATTCTGGATTTGGGTCCCTTCCAGCGTCACGCAGGGAGATGAGCTGGGCAACCCTGAGGGCCTACTTTTCTCTAGGTATTTCAGTGTAGTCAAGAGTATATTACCTGAGAAAGTATGCAGAAATACAGTTCTTTAGGCCCAAAAGCTTACTGGCATAGCTGCCCAACAAGCCTTGTCATCACCAAGTTAAATGCCACTCTTGTTGTTCTGGGTCTAGAGTCTGGATTCTTTGAATTCATGCAGTTCTGCCTCCTTTCTTACTGGTATATTAGCTGTCCCCATTAGGTACCTAAAATGGTGTGTAAGTGCCGCGCTTGGAAAACACGTAATTAAGAGTCTGGAGGAAGGTTGAGGAGATAACCATGACTTTTATTAGGTGTTATTCAGTTGAAAGTAATTAAAAACAGACGATCAGGGAGAGACAGAGATGTTCATTCTCTCAGTGCCTGAGAAACTGGGCGTAATTGTCATGATACAGAAGTTGCTCAGAGGAGTATCCTGGAAGAGTAAGATATCCATGGGATAAAATCACTGGAAAAGAGGGAATTAAGTGGCCTTCCCACTACTCTGATGCAATTCTTCATTCACACATCTACGGTTAAACTACCAGAAAAAAAAATGAATTTCTTAAAGTGTTTGGAGAGAAATTTTCCAAGAAAAACTAATGTTAAGTTGTACTAAATAATGTGATAAAAAAAAAAAATCAAGGCCATCAGAGTGTACTTCATTCATCCAGGAATCTGACATGACTCATACGCCTCATGACTTTACAGAACCTCAGTTTTGAACATATGACCACATTAAAACAGTAAGACAGTGAAGATTTGATAGGTAATTAATGTTGGAATCAAGACAAAAATCAGCACCACAGTGATAGTTCGGGAAGATAGTTTAGATTGCATTAATTTAAGTCACCAGAAAAGAAACAACATCTACTTTGTTTTGTTCCACGTAGATATTGCGTCAAAGAGCATTCACGGGAATTCTGAAAGGATTACATTTATCCTAAAGCACGTGTTTAACACAAAGTCATAAAGTAGTTTCTCAATACCAGCATGCAGCAAGTAAACATTTTATTCCATCCCACTGTTGCTGCCCTCCAAACAACTTTTGGAGTGAACTGTAGGCCTTCTTAGCTTTGACCCTCCTGGTGAAGATCTTACCTCTACGACATTGGTGGGGTTGCGGATATAGACACCAGATGGTGTCAACAGTTCAGGACTGGAGAGCCCCTCAGCACCAGAAACACTGATGATCATGTTGTTGCTGATTATATTTCCCAGTTCTGACCAGTCTAATTTAAGAAAAGATACATCAAACCCAAGGGATTCACAAACATAATTAAAATTTACACAACTCAACACTCTTATTTCTACTAATACACATTACAGTTCACATAATGCATATGTATGTGTATAGACACACACACACACACACACACACACACACACACATATAACATTTAGTATGTTCAACAAATTTAAGATATCTAACATTCTTCCATCAGGCCTGTCTATATACCATATGACAATTTAAATAGATTTTAATAAATTTAAAACCAAGTTACATATTTACCATTTGTTCTTCCAGGAATAGCCTCCCAAGGAATATATCTTGTCTCCATGTATGTACCTGAGAACAAAAGATCATGTCACTTCAGCACATTTCATGCCACCCAGGAAAACAAGGGACACTGCTACACTAGTTCTCCTTTCAGGTGTGGCTTGCTTTGATTTTGTTTTTGTTTTTATCTATGAACCAAAGAGATACATATTATATGAACTTTTTAGATCTAGAGTATCATGGATCAGAAGTTCATTTTAAATAATAATTTAAAAAAAGAACAAAGAAATGGACCTATTAGTTTATTTCTTAGGAAGAGTCTAAGTGACTGTCTCCATAGTTAAATGCCACATACCTTCATGTCAGCTCCAGATCTGTCCCTAGCTTTTCAAATTGCCCACCAGCTATCTGCATGCCCCTCTCTTTCCCTGGAAGACCTGGAATGTTCTGGAGTTATAGGCTGGACAGTACCTGGGACCCTCACACCCAAACCACTGAGGTTTGGAATAGATGAGTATAAAAGAGAACAGGCCATGCTACAGAGAGAGATTAGTCACTTATGTGGCATCAATAGAAAGCAGCCCCAGAGACTCCCAACCTCACAGACTCCCTCTTTCTAGGTCATTAGGTATCTGGGCTTCCCATGTCATTTCATGAGTCTGGTTTTGCAAACTCATTTTGCATGAATTGAGTACTTTATAATGCACTAATAAATAAATATTCTAATTCTCTCACCTGCACTACAGTAGATGTCAAAAGCCACCAATTCACAATATCCAAGCACTAAAGGTGAAATTCCTCTTGCAGGCTTTCTTCCTTGCCTAGTTAATGTCTATTCTATATAATTGTTTTCCCCTAAAATATTCTTAGTGTACCTTCCTGAATTTCTGTTCCATGTTTCAGCAAACTTTCCCCTTATTCAGATAAAAATAAGAATAAACAAAGGTAATCCTTCATCTGTTAGTCTGACTGCCCTGTAGCTGTCTTTTTCCAATCAAAAGATTTTCCTACACCTGATCACTTTTATTGTCCATAGTTCTTTGCCCTTTAGAGCTGGAATTTGTTTTAAAGCAATTTTATATGATCCATATTTTCTCACTAAACAGTTTCCCTCTCAGGATTAGAACCTTTATAGCTTTTATCTTCACAGATTTTCTTAAATGAAACATGTACATTTTCCCATTAATGATATCACAGGATTAATTTAAATATAGAACACTATTTAACAAATAGTTATAATCTTACTTTCAGTGAAAACCTCTGATCTGCTTTTTTATTCTGATATAATCAAAGACCCTTTGTTCATTAATTCATTCATTTCTTTCAACAAATATAGCTACAATGCACTAGTAAATGTGCTAAATGGTAAGGAAACAATATTGCCATGAAACTTGGTGGTAAAAACAGACATTAATCAGATGATCAGAAACATGATACATAATTTTTAATCAACAAATGATTGGTGCTAAAAGAACTTAGAGGATCTTGCAGGAGGAGGGCAAGTAAAATAGTATGAACAGACGGGAAGGGCTTGTGCAAAGGCCCTGAGGCAGAAGAAAGTATGGTCTTTGAAAGAATTAAAATAAAAAGGTTAGTATAACTAGAGTAGAGGGGAAGAGAAAAAGAACAAGACAAGTTTATAAAAGTTAATAGAAACAAAATCACTGAAGGAAACTTTAAGCTAGGTTAAGGGTTTTGGATTGTATCCTAAGGGTAATAAGAAGCTCTTAAAGGGTTTTAAGGCGAGAAGTGATATGATGCAATTTGAGATGTTAAAGAATAACTCTGAGGGGGCCGGCTGAGTGGCGCCATGGTTAAGAACTGGCTTGGGACGCCAGAGGGCCCCAGTTTGGATCCCACATATGAGGGCCGGTGACACTGCCCTTCACAGCTAAGATGCTGAACAACAGCTCAAACTGGAGCTGGGCTGCAGTGAGTCGCCTGCGACGGCGTAGGCTGCAGCCCCTGCTGCAGTGGGTTGCTATGGGCTACCATGTGTAGCCAGCAGCCAGCGTGAGCAGCCAGCAGCTGCAGTGAGTGGCAGTCCAGAAGCCAGCGACTGATGTGTCTCGCCAGGGAAGAGCGCAATGATGGTGCCAAATTGAGCCAGTGAAGCAACGTCCTCCACAACTAGACTGAAGAACAAAA